TCCTCAACCGACGCGGCATCTGCGCCGCCGGGCGGCCCCGCGGCAAATCTGAATGAGAATCTGAGAAACATTGGCAAGTTTTTCCGCCGTGATGTGGGTAGCTTTGGGCGCTTTGGCAGAACGGAGACGGGGTAGGGGCTGGAAAATTTGAAGGGTCTAATGTTCTTTGTGTCGGCTTTTTTGGTTCGTTTTTGCTCGCGTGTACCAGGTTTACCTTCTTAGACTTGAATTCGATACTTTGTTGAGTTTTTGCGTGTACATGGACAAAGGGGAAGGACGAGTGGGTTGAACCGTTGGAGAGATGGAGCGCGGAAATGGCAAGGAATGCAGTGTGCCGGTATGTTAAAACGTACTTCTCTTTAGATGTAATGCGCTTACTCATTTACCACCTTTCCAGCGTCTCACATCAGTTCAGTTGACACAGTATCATATACTCCGCACAGAGCATAGGAAATATCAAGTTTTCGCTCAAAGGCAGCCGCGCACAAGGGAAACATCACTTAGACAACAACCTACAAAAAGCACGAGGGATTTTGCGCAGTTTAAAGAAGATGGTTTAAAGAAGATGGTGAACTTGTGTTGCTACAGGACACATCGACAGAATATCCAAAGGTAGGCAGAAGAACATTAGTCCACCAGGTTTCAGGTTTCAACGCATCACAGCCACCGGGGCTGATCAGCGACCTGGACCACCATCTCCGCTGCCATGGTCTCCTCCAGAATCTCCGTTGTCACGACCATCTCCATCCTTGCCGCCGTCACCTTTGCCACCATCTCCTTTACCGTTACCTCCTCCACCGTTACCTCCTCCACCACCTCCTCCACCACCACCTCCTCCACCACCACCGCCGCCGGTGCGAGAAACAGGAGAGCACTGACGAGTAGATTAGCACGATCGCCTTGTTAGATATGGGACAAGCTTACCTGAAGGCGAGTGACGACAAGAGCGGGGCCACAGTCAAACGTCTCACGGAGGTCACCGCAGTAAGCCTTCTCCTTATTCTCAAGCTCAAGGTAGACACCCTCAATCTTGCTGCCGCCCTTCTCCTTCATACACTTAGCGCTTTCGCCATTGGTCGGGTCGTCGCCATTATCCTTCTTCTTCGGGCACTTTGCCTCCTCGGGCGTGATGGTCGAGTGAGGATTGAGCGCCTCGCATTGGTAGAAGCGGACCTTGATGTAACGTCCCTGATACTGAACAAGAGAGTCACGGGTGCACCAGGAGGTATCGCCCTTGCCAAGTGTGGTTTTGGCGTTGCAGACTGACTGGCCGCCGACCCAGACAACGTAGCGAGTCTCGCCATTCAAACTGACCCGAATTAGCTGATTGTGGTTCAAAATTGGGACGGAGGTAGGCATACTTCTCCAGACCAACACGGTAATCAAAGTTCTTTACCTCCTCAGGACGAATTATATTCGGCTGGTCTCCGCCGCCACCACCGCCACCACCGCCACCACCACCTTTGTGACCACCCTTCTCCTTCTTCTCTGAATCATCTTGCGCACTGGGAAGTGCAGCGGTGAGGCCGAGGAGGGCAACAGAGGGAATAATCCACTTCATATTGAACACAGAATATCAGATTCGCTGATAAGGAGAGTACTGGACGGTTAAAATCCCAAATTGTGGGCGGTAGGTGGACACAAGGTATATATACTCCTTCCACCTTCTCTCTGCGCAAAGGCCGCCCCCAAGGCACCTCCGAGCCAGCGTCCCAGAGACTCTCAATCAAAAGTCAATCTCAGAAGCTTCGCATAGCCAAACCTCGGGAAGCGCGGAGCGGCCAACAACAGCTTAGCTGAGCAAGCCCCAACCAAGCCTCTCAATAGCACCAATTGGGGACTGCCGAAAATTCAAAAAAAAGAAACAAGTCTATAACACGCAAAACATGGTTAAAGCCAACAGCACATAGACGGTGGTCCATGCGAAGCGAGAACGACGCTGAGCGTCTGTCTGGCTTGGACTACTGTACTGGCGAAACTGAAAATCAGACTTTGTTGGCAGCACCATCCTCGACCATGTACGACCTCATTGGCTGTCTGGCGCATGTGGTGCAACCAAAATCAGCCGGACGTAAGATCAGAGGCCGTCGCTGGACAGGTGCTCCCATGGAGGGCGCTGCGCCTGGCGGCTCTCGTTGGTCGGAAGGGGAACAGAACAACCCCGCCCAAGGCCGTCGGCCGAGTCGTTCAGGGGAAAAGACGCGCAGACATGCACGCAAAAAGCTAGGTTAAAGGGGTGACACGCCCATTCCGATTACATGAAGGAAGCTTCGTCGAAGGTCGCGCCAAGGCGCCTGCGTACGCGGGTGAACGCTGCTAGCTGTCAGTCATGTGTCTGCGCACTTAATGTCCGATTAGATTAAGGCTGCCACCTTAACAGCGTGATGTCAGTCGCTGGGAATGGATCTCATGTCCATGGAAAAATGGCCAGGGTTGGGCTAATTAGCTTCGCGCGGCCGCCAGGTTCATCAGCCAGTGCTGCAGTGCAGAGCCTCCTCCCTAGGCCGCCAAGGGCCTCTCCCGCTTCTCCACACGCGACCTATCCCCGCTCTTGTGCCAGTTGTCGCTCGACCTTCGGAAAGCTTCTACTAACGGACATGGCAATTTTGACATGTGGTGGCTTATGGCTTTCCCATCATCTCATCACTGACGCTTTCCCAGTCCAGTACCAACGGCTGGTCTGAGCGCGCCGTCTCTCCTGTTCTAGCGACGTTCTACGCTGCTTCTGCCGCGCCCGCGCCCAATATATCTGATGCGACTCATACCAATCGCCGAAATAGACGTGCGAATCGTGCCTTGCACAAACAGAGTTGCGCCCTGAGGCGGTGGTGCAAGGGTGCTGGGGGGGGAGGTGCGGCCTGACTGCCTCCCTGCCTCTCCTCGCCCCCCATCCTCGACCCCATAATAGCCGATGCGGACTCCGATAGACAATCGTACAGCCGCTGTGTTCCGATTGCCGCTGCCTTCCGACCATCAGGAACGCGCTAGCCGCCGTCTGGAACGTTTGCGCGAGGTGCGACTGCGAAGTGTGCGTGCAGATGTAGGCATGCGCGGGACGGGCTTCTGGGTCGACCGACGTCGACACTGGCCCGGAGTCGAGTCGTAGCGGCCATCAGGGACCGGAGAGCCACTGATTTGTCAATTGTTGTCGTCACTGATCGACTCTGGGGGAATCTGCCGTGTGACCGGGTTTTCAGATGATGTACAGCAGGCACTTCGACGCCTCAGCCTGCCCTCACTTGCATTTTGCCTCGGCCGCTCCTGAGAGCATCGGTGAACCGCGAACAAGGATATCTTCGTGTCTGACTTCGTGATTTCCTGCAGGAGGTGTTTGCGTTTGCAAAGTGTGGGTTGTGTAAGCAGCGGAGTCTTGGTGAGTCCAGGAGGCAGTTCAAGTAGAGCAAACCTCCAACCTAAAGTCGGTCCAGTCGAACATTTCACGTCATCGATAAAGCAAAAGCGTAGAAGCATAAAGCTAAACAGCGTTGAGCATAACAGGTCGATGCTTGGTGTAGCTCCTGAATGGTCGCAAGGCCGGTCCAATGAGGAACTAGACGGGCGTCGTTGTTTTGGTGCTCGTTGTGTTTCTATTGTTCAGCTAGTCATAGGGGACTCGTCTCAAAGAAGCTTTGTCGCGAGTAGCTTGCAGGAGCTGCCATGGACGGTGTCCATACGGTTCGGGAGAGATTCAACGCTTGACAAGATGGAAAGCGCAGCACGTTACAAGATGCCGTATTAAAAGGTGTCGATTGCATTGTCTTTGGTGGTCGTCGGTAAAACAGGTTGCAAAGCGGCGGTTATGACGTTTCGCGACCTGTACAAGGGGATCAAAGTAGGTCATTCTGCGATAATGAAAAACCCACTTCTGGGAAAAGTGTCTGGTGTCTATAGCAGTGGAATTAGCGAACGGGCACTTCCAGTTTATCTCCCAAAAAACAAGGCTTCCTTTCCTCTTTCAATTCGCTCGATTCTTGGTCTGCATGAACTCTGCAAGCAAATCGATATCAGCGTATCTCTCAAGGCAGATATTGGCGTCGCGCTGTCCAAGTATTTTGCGCCCTCTAACCCCCGTCCAGGCCCTAATTCTCCTACTCCACCACCATGTTGCAAGTTCTGCTACATGGCTAACCGCCTCGAGGGGTAAAACGGCTGGAGATAGGGTAATAGTCCTATTCTGTAAATGTCGGGTTTACCATCGTATTTAAGCTCACTAAAGATATAGCCTTATTCGCAGCGACGCTTGGCACTGTCATCTGATTAAGGTTGTTTTTGATGCTTGACGCAGTCAAGGTGTGCGCAGCGATCATGGAGCTCGGAGCAAGTCTGGGCGACGCTGCCGGCGGCCGAACCGCGTGGAGGCGTAGAGCTTGGATGCAAACGCCTGCCGCAATACGAGGTGTTGGCATTGTTGACGCCTTGTGGAGGCAGTGTTGGCATGAAAACACGCCCTGCCAACTTGCTATTGTCCACGTCGTCCACTGAATTCTAAGTGGAAGAAGCGCAGGTTTCACGCGATCTGAGCGACAGTCTGGCCTTTCGAACCGTGCTGCGAAGCTGCTGGGGATGACATCGATAGGTGTTGATGAATGCAAGGAACGAGGCGTGGTAACAAACCGTGAACCCACACGGGAATCAGCAACGTCGCTAGCCTTTGCCAATAACACACCCGAGTTCAAGAAGCTTGAATTACATGCTTTCCAAGTCGGCAGCAGCTGACAACGCGGTCTCGAGGGAAAGTTCAGCAGTGTCGAGATCTGGTGCACAGTTCCATCATTTGTCGCAGATCCGCGCGTGCTCCGCCTTTTGCTACCGGCCAAGCTTCGGGAGGAAAGTGCGTCGTCCGCTAGCGGTCCTGCAACGGTTTAGCGCCCCGTTCTCGCCCATTTCGCGGCGCAAAGCTCCCACACCTCAGAAATGCATCAAAACAACACAAAATCGAATACCCATCAAATGACATAGCAAAAAATACATCTCGGTGTCCCGAAGAGCCAAAAATGAACTACTCCACGCGGGACTCGAACCCGCAGCCTCGAGATACCGTTTGTTGGTGTCGTAGAAGTCTCGCGCGCTACCATTGCGCCAGTGGAGCCAATTTGTTGAAACAGAAATTGTACAATCGGTAGATCATCACCTACAAAACCGGAAGGACAAGGAGAATTGATTGATTGATTGATTGATTGATTAATTATTTTACGTCTTGCTAGAGCCATAGGCTATCTAAGATGGAGCTATCTATAGGGAA